AGCCAGCTGGGAGGCACAGATCCAGGGGAACAATTATGGAGGAATTGTGAGGAAACTTGGAAGCAAACTCCTGTGAAAATCAATTATCATGAAAATTGTAGCCTGGACTGCTTCGAGAACAGGGAGTTGCTGTCTTCAAAACCAACACCAGCTCCTGGCTATGAAGGTCTAACAGCCTAGTTTTCAACAGATGTCCTGTCCTGTGAACTTCTGCACTGCAGCAGGACCCTCTCTTCACTGTCCTCTCCTCCTGCCTCCCCTGCCTTGAAGAAGCCTTTGGGGAAGCTTTCCAGGGAAGCCCTCCAGCTTCCAGGCCCCTGTCTCCCCAACAGCCCCTTCATCCCTGTGACTTTTCTTCCTATCCCATGACAGTGCGAGGTCCATTCTACTCCAATCCTGGCAACCGTGCTCCGTGGCACTTGCTGCTGATGGACCTGCAGCAGGCAATCTGTCTTCAGCTCCAGGTCAGAGCCTGTGTTGCCATCACTTCATTTAATATGCTCTCATTTTGCAATAGTGAGCACAGGACCTGCTGTGCTTTCATCTGGGGAAGTTGGGTGCTGGGACACAGTCACAGGTCATTAATTTACCAGGGTGGGAAAGCAAATACAAGCAAAAAAAAAAAAAAAAAAATTATAAACTAAAAAATTCACATCTCCAGCAATTCACTAATTTACAAATGATGTGAACGGATGTGACATGAAAGAAGCATGAAAGGATGGGGGTAGAGGACAGAAAGTCCTGCAACTGGACACAGCTGTACAGCTAAGCTAGATGTGTCCAGACTCAACATTTCTCTAGGGGCTGCAGTTTTCCTCCAGAAATGAATCTCCTGTGGTGGCTATGTCGTCTCTCAGATAAATGATCATGTGCTGCCTCTTGTGGTCCAAATGAAGGGAAGGAAGAAAGTCTGATTCCTTCCTTCTTTACTTCCTTCCTGCCTGGCTGGCTGCCTTCTTGCCTGCCTTCAGGAAATCCATGCTTTAAACTGGCTCTAAATTAGAGAGAGTGGGTACATTTTCCAACCTCAAAGTTGGGAGACATAATCTGATGAAAACAAAGAGTGTTTGAAATCCACCAGAAAGCCCAGGATATGGTCACTATAATTACAGATGAGAGAAATCTTTACAGATGCACTGATTGCTCCTTGGGAGTCTGATGGCCAAGATCCCAGAGTAGGGAATTATTGAAAGTATAGTATCTGTGACTCTTACAAGGAAAGCTAGTGGAATTTATGTAATGAAACTAGAATCTGATAGGCACAAGATACATTTTAGTTTTCCTCATCACTTTTAAAGAGATGGTCTTATTTATTTATTTATATTTTGGTACCAGAAATTGAACTTGGGCCCTTGCGCCTGCGAGGCAGGCATCGGAACCACCGTGCTAAATCCCCAGCCCCCCTCATCACTTTTAAGACACAATTGATTTGGGTAGTAAATAATAGTGATTCAATTCTAGGTAGTTTGAATGATTTGTTTTGGAACTGATTTTAAAATCTGGAGATGGAGAAAGAATGTAGTGTTTCAATTATTAGACTTCAGATATACCTTGTTTAATGAAATAGATGCGTACCAACACCTGTTAGCATTAACGTTTATAAATTAAATGATAGTATGTACATTTGGAATTTTTTTGTTTGTAATATTCTAGAGGAATCCTTTCATTTAGAAATGGAATGAAAATTGAAGTTTAGTAAATTCTGATTCTAGCATGTTATTCTAGGCATCCTTGAAGTAAAATACAGTCCGTTATTCAGGTGCAAATCTCTTTAAATGAGTATTTTCTCTGGTATCATTTTTGAAGTATGTAATCTTATATTTGTCTCAGCAACCTTACTTTTGTACATAAAGGTGGTGTGTTTAGTAGTTTTCTCAAGGCTCACAGAGTTAGTGACTATATGACCAAGATTTGAACCACGGGCTCATGTTATTTTCCCCAGTCTTCTGTTACTAGGTCTGAGGCTGCTACCTGTTCTCTTATTTGGAACAATCTGGGACTTTTAGAAGGAGGCACTGTACTGTGGGATTTGGAGTTAGTAGAGGTTTGAGACTCAGTTCTGAAATTTACTAGCTGTGTTATTTTTAGGAAAGATTCTAAACTTCCCTGAGTCTTGGTCAACTCACCTGTGAAATGGGAGCAATGAAACTTTCCTGCTTCCTGCTTTCTCTCTGCCTTTTTTCCAACAGATCCAGACTTTAAGTTGGTTTTAAATTAAAGACACCAAGAGTCCATTTTCCAGCCTCAAAATTGGGAGGCAAAGTCTGATGAAGACAGAGAATAGCTGAAGTCTACTGGAAAGTCCAGGATATGGTCTCTATAATTACAGATGAGAGAAATCTCTGCAGATGGATTGATTGCTCCTTTTGAGTTCAACATCTTTAAGAATTAGAGAAAATAAGAATAAAACACATAGTACATAAACAATCCTTGTTTGCTACAATTACTATCATCATAATTAGCAGTAGCATTAAGACATATTTAGATGTTTTTCTGCTAATCTCAGAGATGGAAATCATAGCAGACAAACCCAATGAGATTCTCCTGGGTAAGAAAATATGCTGCATGTGGTTTAATTTCTTTGTGCCATGGCCTAATAAGTTTCCAAATTCATTAGAAATAACCTTGAATTTTCCAATCACTTTCCTTCTGTCTACTATATCGTCCCATTTACCAGGCACAAAGGGTAAGGCTCGTTGAGACATGACCCATCCAACTGAGCTAGATTCAAATTCTGTATCTGTTACCTGTAAGCATCAATAGCTCTCCCTTCAAATTTGCAGCTCAGAATATCCTCATAACAAATGCCATCCATGGAATTTTACAGTTTCTCCCAAGCCCCGACTCTGGTTCAGATTTCTTATATGTGAGCTAGAGTTTGGAGTCATAATTCTTTCCAAATATTTCATTCTTGGGCACTGATACATTTTTGCTTCTTCTGAAAATAAAACTGTATTTTTTAAGTTTTAATTGAGTTTATTGGTACATTTTAGGTATACAGAGCAGTTAAATTCATTATTGGGATCTTGTACCTTTACATGACAGGTCTTGGTTCTCATTTTTTCCCCTTGTCCCTGCCCTCCCTTCAGGCCCCTCCTCTCCTCCTTGTTTACAAATACTTTATTTCCATTTTCTCATTTTTTTCTTTTCCCTTATTCCCTTTCCCCTACCCTTCCCACTTTCCCAATAAAACTATTCTTTATAATCCTGTATTCTGGGGTTCCAGATAATTAATCCTGGAGCAACAGGAAGTATGCTTATGTTAGTCAGCTTGAGCTGCTATAACACATTACCATAAAGTAGATGCCTTAAATAATAAGTATTTATTTCTTATAGTTTCAGAGGCTGAAAATCTAAGATCAGAGTGCCAGCATGGCTGGGGATTGGCATAGATTTTCTTCCATGTTGTAAACATCTCCTTGTGTTCTCAGATGAGTGGTGGGGGAAGAGAGAGAGAGTGGGGGGGAGAACAAGCATGTGAGGGCAAGGAAATTGCTCTGTTGTGTGCGTTTTAATGAGGGCACTAATGTCATTGATGAGGCTCATCCTCATGACCTAATTACCTCCCAAAGATGCTACCTTCTAGTATCATCACATTAGGGGTTAAGATTTCAACCTAAGAATTTTGTGAGGGCAAAAATGTTCAATCTATGGCAATAGTCTATTCAGAGACATTTCATAATTTCTCTGTATGCCAGGTCAGGAGGAGAATCTACACACAGGTTAAAGAACTGAGGGCCAAGAGAGTAGCTAACCTAGTCAGCTTTCTACACTAGGAAGATCCTGGGGGTGGGGGTGAGTATGCTGTAAAATCTCCCTTTGTATCCATATAAGTAATTAATATGGCCTTGTATGGAGAAATTGATCAATGAATTTTGATTGAACAAACAGTCTAACCAAATGAGGACAGGAAAGCTCTTGGATCTAAATAGTTAGGAGCTCATTTGATTCCATAGTGAAACAAGGCATTGCTCTTTAGGTTGGAATACTCATCCTTCTTCTTTCCCTTCCAGTTTTCTCTGCTTATGCTGAGTATTTGCAAGTCACTTCTCTGAAGCTTGACTTTTCCGTGAGTGTAATGAGAGGAGTAACACTTAACTCACAAGGTTAATGGAAGGATTTGTGTACCATCATCTGTTTTTGCATTTTTTTTTTTTTTTTGGTTTTTTGAGACAGGGTCTCACTACGTCTTTGAGACTGACCTGGAACTCACTATGTAGCCCAGGCTGGTCTCGAACTTACAGCGATCCTCCTGCCTCAGCCTCCCGAGTGCTGGGATTACAGGCGTGCACCACCATGCCTGGCTTTTGCATGTTTTTAAATCACAGTCAAATCCTTAAAGTCAGGAGTCATATTTGATTTCTTTTTATTTCTATGGTATCTATTGCACTGCTAGGATTTTAAAAGGTTCTCAGTAATGTTTTGTGGGGAAAAATTAAATAGATGGACATGATGGTAGTAATTGCTAACATTTGTAGAATACTTGCTATGTGTATAGTGTACTCATAAGTGCTTTGAATATATTAACTCATTAACCATAGAGCAATGGCTGTAATGACCATCATAGAGTGGAATATTACTTCTTCTCTGAATATGGAGCCAAAATTATAGGAATGGAGTGTGTGTTGTGCGTGTGCGCGTGTGTGTATGTGTATTTGTAGAGGATAGAGTTTTTAAAATTTATTTTGAGACAAGTTCTTGCTAAATTGCTAAGTTGCCCAAGTGGAACTTGGATTTACAATACTTTTTCCTTAGCCTTCCAGAGTGCTGGGATTGCAAGCTTGCACCACCATGCAAAATGAGTTATTACTTCAGAATTCAGCTCAATTCAAGTTGCTAAGTAGGGAACCATTCTTGATACTCTTCTAGCATCATTTTCCTCTGCTTTTTTCCTCACACTACTCCCTGGGCTTGTTTAGTTGAACTTGTCTTCTCCAAGAGCTCCTTGGAGGCAGACCTTTTGTATATATATATTTTTAACACTTTTTTTTTTATACCAGGGATTGAACTTGGGACCTTGAGCTTGTGAGGCACATGGCGGAACCACTAGGTCAAATCCCCGGCAAAGTAGACTTTTTATTACCCAGCTGCCACTCCTGTGTCCTTCCCTTGGAACCCTGGTATGTAACTGTTGCTCAAATTTATAAACAAACTAAGGCTATAGTAGTAATGGTTGGTAGTGGCACAAATCATAAACTTCCCTTTCCATATTACATTAACTTTATGTCAGTCATCCGTACTTTAGTCTAAAAGAAGGAATAATTTGGGAATATTTTCCAGGTTGACTTTCAGTTTCTCCTATGTTAAAGAAAATTCGAAAGCATAAGTTGGGAAAGTTGTGTTCATAAGTTGTGTTTAATTGGTGCTCTTAATGAAATAAGCCCAAGAAATGGAATGGAAGAAAGAGGAGTCTCTCAGGTATGAGACTCAGAAGAGAAGACCAAGTGATAGTTCTGTGGATGCTGGATTGCCGTTGGCTGTAGTTATTAGAGAAGAGCTTCATAATACTTTATAAGAGAAGTAAAATATCTATAAATATTTCTCACAGCATAAGTATCTGAAAGGCTTTTTCCATTGAAAAAAAATTTTTTTTTGGTACCTGGGATTGAACTCAGCACCTTTCGCTTGTAAGACAGGTGACAGCGCCACAGAGCTAAATCCCTGGCCCTCCATTGAATTTTTATTTGAGTTGATTATCTATTGAACGGGCTTAGTATGCAACGCCTCTGAGGTGAATGTCTTAATATTAGGAATATTTTCACAACGCCAAAGTAGTGTATCTTACATAAAGTAAATCTGATTGGATCGGAAGTCTGAATTTTTTTGAAACATTCAGGGTAACTTTCAGACATTACAAATTAAGCAGACATAATTTTTTTTGGGGGGTACCAGGGATTGAACTTGGGTCCTTGCGCTTGCAAGGCAGGCCACTGAACCGTTGAGCTAAAGCAGACGTAATCTTTTTTTTTTTTTTTTTTTTTGGTTGAGACAGGGTCTCACTATGTAGTTGAGACTGACTTAGAACTCACTGTGTAGCCCAGGCTGGTCTCGAACTCACAGAGATCCACCTGACTCAGCCTCCCAAGCGCTGAGATTACAGGAGTGTGCCACCACGCCTGCTAAGCAGACATAATCTTTAACAAATTGTGAGACAATGTATTGGTGTTTTGTCCTAGGAGGTAAATTTACATTTCTCTTTCTAAAGGAGTCATTAAAATCTCAGAAGAGACAGTATGGGTTAATGGAAAAAGCAGCATGTTATGTAGAATACTGAGTTCTTAGTATGCCTCCAGTTGCAACTGGCACACATTAGATCATACCTTTGTCTTCCAAGTTTAGAAGCTTATGACAACAAGAATTTAATATTTTAAAACTTTTTATTTTTAAAATTTAATATTCTAAGTTATTATATTTTCCTACTTGGCAAAACTACAAAGTTTCCCTGAAATGTTTATTCATAAAAAGATCTCACAGTGGTTGATGACAGAATGCATCTTCTAGGATATAAAACATTTCTACATGGAGCAGGGTGACTAAAGGCCTCCTTTACTCTCCCCTGCATCCCAGGGACATGTACGATGTGAAAAGAGCAATTCATCTCCCACACAACTCTTGTCTGAAGCCTGTGGAACTGTACCCAACTGTCTCCCTCGTTTCTTGTTACTTATGTTTCATCAGTTCCAGCGTGCTTCATGCTGCTGCTTCATGAACTTTCCAGAAGTTGTCAAAGAAAGGTTTGCATACCATCTATCTCATGGCCATAAAACTGTAAGTTGCATCCAAATTGTACTTGGTAATCCATGAAAGAATGTGCATTTTAGGAATGACAAAACAGGGTGTTTATTTGTTCTACTTCTTTTCTTCCTTCTCCTTGTCATTTTTCTTATATACTATCCTAATTTCTCCATTCCTTCCTGGGACTGTATGAATTGAGGAGTTTTTAATCTAATGTAGAGCCAAATCCCTCATCCTGTGCTTTTAAAAGCACTGAAGCTTAGTGTTCTTCCTCTTTTTTAAACACTTACAAATGAAATTGTTTTATGTATGTGTATTATATGTTGTCTGTGAATCCTTCTTCAACTTCTCTGAAGGTCAGAATAATTCTGCGGCAAAATATTCAACTCAGTTGTATAGGACGAAAATCCACCTGTTTCTTGCATGATGCAGAGTCAGTGTTTGGTCAAGCTTCCTGGTTGAGTATAGAGATTTGAGGTCTGAACTGGCAGATTCACTGAGTAACCCAAGTACTCAAATTCCCTGGCCAAAGGATTGCCACTGAGGGTGCTGTTTGGATTGGTTTCCCAAGGCTGCCATAATCAAATCTCACAAACTAAACAAGAGAAATGTATTCTCTGATAGTTCTGGAAACTGAAAGTCTGACCTTAAGACGTTGACAGAATTGGTTGCCCTTGGAAGTTCTGAGGAAGCAACCACCCTCTGCTGCTCACCTACTTCCGAATGGTTGCTGATGATCCTTGGTGTTCCTTAGCTTGACTCAGGTCACCATCTCTCCTTTTGGGTGTCTTGATTCCTCTTTTCTATTATAAGTAAACTTTTGTTGAATTTAGAGCCAGCTCTAGTGCAGTATGAGCTCATCTTAATTAATTTCATTTGTAAAGAACCTACTTACAAATAGGTCTCATTTTGAGGTTCTAGGTGGGCCTAAATTTGGGCCAGAGGTAATGCCATATAAACAAGTATAGTGCAAAAGTAGAAGAGGTACATAGGGAGGGAGGAACTACAAACCACAGGCAGGCAAGGGGTTGTCCTGAGTGTAGCGAATGAAACTTGCTTTAATGTGTGTTGTTCTGAGTATATGCAAGAATTTTTACGATATGTTGTATATTAAACTGTGTTTTACATGCCTTTAATTACTTAGCTATTGAGCAAAATTAAAAGGAAAAATAGCAAAGGGATTGGCAAGACAGGTAAGGAAGACTTTAGTCAAGGTGGCATTTTGGGACTATGCTGCGATGATAAGATGGAACACTAGCTTCAAGTGGCAGTGGCCCACATATTTTTGTGCTGACTCTTTCTGCTTCCTGTTTTATTCTCTTGCTCCTGAAATTCCTCTCTATGCATTGCTTGGACATATTTCTTTATCCGGGACTCTGCTTTTCAGAGAATTGAAGTTACAAGGTTATTTGAAGCAATTGCTTTCTGGTGTTGCTTGAGGATAGTGTGCGCATGGTTAATGTTTGATTATATTTGGGGGCTGGGACTGGTTGATGGAAGTGGTTCAAACGAGGCCACCATAATGCATGTAGACCTAAGGTGACCCAGCTGGCTTCATTATGTCCCATGACTAGTTGGCAAGCGGCAATTCTGAGGATGTACCTGTGTACCCAAAGGGCAGGAAAACCTGCCTGAAGCAGGTGTCCATTTCCGTTCTGCCCCTCCACCGTGGGACTTCCACCTGCTCTCCACTGGGGACACATTCCTAATTTCACTCACTCATCCCAAATAGCTACAGAGCGCTCAGTTCTTTTGTATTTCAGAAATGTCTTTAAAAATTGACATGCCTGCCTTTGTCCAAGTTCACAATCGTGCCTTCTCCTCCTAGTCCATCAAAACAGTACCCTACCTGGTTTAACACCTCAACCCTCTTCCCTTTTGCTGCATTGATACACTTATGACAACGAGCTTCCTAAAATGAGTATCACCATTTGTGTCATTTCTTTTTTTTTTTTTTTTTTTTTTTGGTACTGGGGATTGAACTCGGGTCCTTGCACTTGCAAGGCAGGCCACTGAACCGCTGAGCTAAATCCCCGGCCCACATTTCTTTTTCTTAAAGAAAATCACAAAAATCTAAGAAGTAAAGCTGAAAACAATGTTGAAAAATCAACAAGACCCTATCAATTCCCATTGATTGTAGGATTAAAGTAGACTCCAACATATATTGTATAATATCCCCATGCTGTGGGGATCATTGTCCCCTGTAAAGCCTTCCAAGGCTTTCTCAGGCCATTTCCCTGCCCTGTTAGGTGTGTTGTCCACTTGCCCCCACCCCAAAAGACTACCCAAAAGGATACCCACATGATTGTATTAAAAATCATCCACACTAGACCATGAGCTTCTCTGGGACAGACCCTGTGTCAAAGGCACCACTCACCCCACAGCAGTGTTTTTTGGGAGATTAGAAGGATCAAGAAAGGATCAATCAGCCCACCACAAAAAGCCAATACTATTAGTGGTGGTGAGTCAGTAGCATCCTTTGCACCATCTATGAAGGAAAATCTAAGTTTGGATTCTCAGATTGTGTTTTCATCAGAGGCCATGACTGATGGTAGAAGAGGCAATTTTAAGTCATCCATATTTCTCTTGGCTAGAATTTGCTAAAGTGTAAGCCAGATCCCAAAGAGGGATGAAGCTGTGCGTGCCAAGGAAAACAGTCCCTTCCTCCTTGTTTCTGGATAGCCTGTACCTGCAAAGTGATTTCAATCAGTGACTTCTTAGCATCAAACATTTCCTGTGCAGCACAGAGGTTGCAGTTCACAATTATCTAGTCTGGACTCCACTGAGAAGTGATAATTAGCTGCTAAATGTTAACTAGATTACAGCAGCATCGCTCCCACCAGTTATTACCACCTCCTCAGGGGATGGGCATTGAATGTTGCTTTCTACTTACTTTTCCTGTGCAGCTGCCTCTTCCTGACCTTTCTTCAACAGTCTGTATTTTATCTTTCTGTCTGCTTTTAGGACAGCCACATCTATTTGCCTACCTGATAAGAGGCAGCATTAGTAGTGCAGAAATAGAGATGAGTGACTCTTACAAGAGGATGGAAATAGCCAAGAAGCTAAGAGTGCCTCTAAATTTCCCCAGAAGAGGAAGAATTTGCTTTAACCAAGATGGAGAACGTATTGCCAATTTTCTATGTGTGAGATGCAACATAAATGCTGGGCAGGACACTTTCTTTATGACAAGTTGCCTATTCTTTCCATCCATGTGTGACAGATATAAAAGCTAGATCTATATGCAGATTAAAGATTGTGTTTAGGCCGGACGGACTCAGAGTTTGTGATTTTATTTTTTTTCCTCATTGAGTTTATTGGTCCATTTTAGGTATACGGTACAGTTACATTCATTATTGGGATCTTGTACCTTTACATGGCAGGTCTTAATTCTCATTTTTCCCCTTGTCCCTGCCCTCCCTTCAGCCCCTCCTCCCCTCCCCCTTTACAAACACTTCATTTCCATTTTTTCATTTTCTCATACTTTTTTCTTTCCCCTTATTAGCTTTCCCCTACCCTTCCCACTTTCCCTGCACCTTTAGCCCCTTCCTATTTCACATTGTCCATTATATCATTAGGATCTTACTTATTATAGTTTATTCACACCAGAGAAACTATTCAGTATTTACACATGTGTGACTTATTTATTTCACTTAGGAGTATATACTCAAAGTGTATCCATTTTCTTATGAATGAATCTAATTTCTCATTCTTTATGGCTGAGTAATATTCCATTTTATAGAAAAACCACATCTTTATCCAGTTTCTAACTGATAGGAAAATGGGCTGTTTCCAAGTTTTAGCTATTACAAACTGTGCTGCTATAAACATAGGTGTGCATATATCTCTGTGATATGGTTCTTTTAATTCTTTTGGAAAGATACCCAGCAGAGGGATGGCTGGGTCAAATGGAACCTCTAGTCCCAGCTCTTTGAGGTATCTCCATATTGATTTCCATAGTGGTCAGAGTTTGTGATTTTAACTGCTGTGCTCTGGCCTCTAACTCCAGCCATTCTGAGTTTGCCCTCGCATTCATTTGGCACCCAGCATGAGAAGATCATCATCATCTCCCTGTTCCCACACAGCTCCAGGAAAGAGGGGTGTCTGTCTTTACCCGCAAGAGGACAGAAGTGCCGTGTCTAGTGATCTGGGGAAGAGTGCTTCCATGAACCAAACTGGGAAAATCTCCCAGCTGAAAAATCATGATTGAGAAATTCTAAGGGGGTTGTCTGACACCACCTTTTCTGTTCTCCTTGAAAATGCAAAAACACAAGTTGTGGCAAAGACCCTAAGGTTAGTGAGAATGAGCTCCACAGGATGTGCACCAATTCAGAAGAGATCGAAGACCACGGACAGGAGACTGGAGGATATCAACCCAAACGTCATAGTTATTCATCACATTGCTTCAAATGTCACCATAAGAAGATGTAATTTCTGTCTCACTACACAGCAAAATTTTAAGATATTATTCATATAGTAATTAGAGATTTTTTTTCTCTAATAGTATTTTCTTTCTTTCGTCTATTTGTTTGAACTATTACTTAGTAAATAATAAATTTCCATTCACTTTGGCTTTCACTTGTGGATATTTGGAGGAGAAAAGCTCTACATGACTCAAAGAATTTTTATTCTTCTGCAGTGGTGCATTTGGCAGTTCTTATAGTAATTTTTGGTTTCCATGTTTTATTTTGTTCCAGCACTTGTCTATCAACATTTATTGCATCAATAGAACATACATTATTACTGTGCCTCCCTTTTAAACGAAACCTACAGTGTATGTACATCATAGTTAAGTTGTCTATTTGGCTGTTTATTTTCTCCCTAAATATTGCCCAGCAATTGTACTTTCAAAAGGAAACTCAGCCCCCACTGACTTACTTGCTATTCAAGACACTTTCACCAGTGCAATTTGTAATTCAGAGGTTTTCTCTAGGTGGTTGTTTTACATTTCTTCTTCAACATGTATTTTCTTAGTGTTAACTATATATCTGGCTCAATCTTGGTACAAACTTGCTTAGCATTTTAATCTGAACCCT